TTTGTTGTGGTGTGAAGGTAGCAGGAGAGGATGTGTTTGTTGTGGTGTGAAGGTAGCAGGAGAGGATGTGTTTGTTGTGGTGTGAAGGTAGCAGGAGAGGATGTGTTTGTTGTGGTGTGAAGGTAGCAGGAGATGATGTGTTTGTTGTGGTGTGAAGGTAGCAGGAGAGGATGTGTTTTTTGTTGTGGTGTGAGGGTAGCAGGAGATGATGTGTTTGTTGTGGTGTGAGGGTAGCAGGAGAGGATGTGTTTGTTGTGGTGTGAGGGTAGCAGGAGATGATGTGTTTGTTGTGGTGTGAAGGTAGCAGGAGAGGATGTGTTTGTTGTGGTGTGAAGGTAGCAGGAGAGGATGTGTTTGTTGTGGTGTGAAGGTAGCAGGAGAGGATGTGTTTGTTGTGGTGTGAATAGCTAGGAGAGGACTGATGGTTTGTTGGGTGTGAAACGGCTAGCAGGAGAGGATGTGTTTGTTGTTGTGGTGTGAAGGTAGCAGGAGAGGATGTGTTTGTTGTGGCGTGTGACGGTAGCAGAGAGAGGGATGTGTTTGTGGGGTGAAGTAGCAGGAGTGCAGGATGTGTTTCGTTGTGCGTGTGAAGGGTAGCAGGAGAGGAGCTCGTTTGTTGTGGCTGTTTTGGGGGGGAAGGGTAGCAGGAGATGATGTGTTTGGTGTGGTGTGTGGTGTCGAAGGGTAGCAGGGAGATGATGTGTTTGTTGTGGTTGGAAGGTACAGGAGAGGGATGTGTTTGGTTGTTTGTCGCGTGTGAAAGGTGCCAGGAGAGGACACGTGCTGGGTTTGTTGTGTGTGAACGGTAGCAGGAACCGAGGATGTGTTTGTTGTGCTGTGAAGGTAGCAGGAGAGGATGTGTTTGTTGTGGTGTGAAGGTAGCAGGAGAGGATGTGTTTGTGTGGGTTGTGAACGGTAGCCGGAAGAGGATGTGTTTGTTGGGCGGCTGTGAAGGATAGCAGGACGAGGTGTGCTTTGTTGTAGGTGTGAAGGTAGCAGGAGAGGATGTGTTTAGTTGTGGCTTGAACGGTAACAGGACAGAGCGATGTGTTATGTTTGTGATGTGGAGCGGTAGCAGGAGGAGGATGTGTTTGTTGTGATGTGAAGGGTATTGACTAGTTTGCAGCGACGAGGATGTGTTTGTTGTATGTGAACGGTAGCACGCGAGAGGATGTGGTATTGTATGATTGGTGTGAAAGGTAGCAGGAGCAGGATGTGTTTTGCTGGGTGGTGTGAAGGAGCAGGAGAGGATGGTGTTTGTTGTGGCTGGTGAAGGTAGCCCAAGGAAGATGATGTGTTTCGTTTGGGCTGTGAAAAGCGGTACCAGAGATGATGTGCTTCTGTTGTGTTGTGAAGCGTAGCAGAGAGCGTAGCGATGTGTTCTGCTTGTGGTACTGCTGTGAAGGGTAGCAGGAGAGGATTGTTTGTTGTGGCTGCTGAACCCGGGTAGCAGGACGAGGATGTGGTTTGTTGTGCTGTGAGGTAGCCAGCGAGAGGATGTGTTTGTTGTGGTGTGAAGGTAGCAGGACTGACATGTTGCACTCGTGTGACCGGTCACCTATTGTCAGACACTAATTTTCCATAACAACAGATCCATGTACATTCTGGCTGTATCAGTGGGTGCGGTGCCTCATAAATCCTGCTAGTCTAATCACTGCCAGCCGGTCTTTACCTGAGACCAAGAAAAACTAAGATATTCGAACAGTTATTTTTCATTATCTGCTTGGGATCATGTATAATTGTGCATTATATTATCATATAGTAATATATAATATATATAGTATAATATTAAAATATATATATAGTATTCCACATATTATATATCATAACATGTCATCATATATCTATCATATCAAGCTAATAATACCTATAATACCTAATAATATAAGAGGTATTATGAGCTCTTTATATATATATATATATATATGCGTGCGTGCGTGCGTGTGTGTGTGTATTTCCCCTGTAATGTAACCGGAATAATATATGAATATAATGTATGTCTGAACCTCTACAATAATTACTATAGCATGTACCTAGTAGTATAACACGTATAGTGCAGTACTGTGTATTGAAGCTTGTAAAAAGGTTGTGTATATATTATAGTAATAAATGCCTAAATGCTATAGATCATATACTGTATTGGTAGCAGTTTGCTTTAGAGTGTGTGATATATATATATATGTGTAATATCGTGTAGGAACTAATGCAGCAACAATCTGTTTCTACAGCAAGTGCGAACAAGCAACAAAAATGTATCTGTACATACCTAGTCCAACAGACAATACATGCATGCCTTACTCTCTCTTTCTTGGTCGGTGTGTTACGCACCACGCGGTATAGATACTGAGGCGTATTTAAAACCAGGTTAGTAGGCGACTGATCATAGATATACACAACACGTGTTGTGTATATCTATGCATGGTCTGACGGTACCTACTGTTTTCTTTTGCTCTCACTCTGCCGTCGCCGCTCTGACGTATATAGAGCCGTAGGCCCTACG